AGCGTGACACCAGTACACCAGACCAGACACCCATTTTCAATACCATACGCCATTCAAGGTAAAATTCAAGGCCAAATGACCGGAAACACCATATCACCTGAACGTTATCGGCCAATTTTTGATCAATAAGCGTCGGAATATTCATCAGCGCATGATCTAGTATCCGGCAAGAAGACCCCACCCCTCAAGGTCACATTTCAAGCTTAAAGGCAGGCTCAAATGACGAGTATGTCGATAGAGCCCAAAACTGACCGGTCAGTTTGCAATTTTTGAGCGTCAGAATACTTACTAGGGCGTGAATTAGCTTTGTAAAATTCCTGACCTCTCCTGACCTCTCCTGACGTGTCACCTCTGAACCGTCTGGTCCAGAGCCCTGACCCAAGCGAGGGACTCAGAACACCGTCCAGATCTCTTCCCTTGTGACTTACCCTGAGACAGCCTCAAATACGGCCGGCGGGTGGTGACTTTTTTTCTTGGCAACGCAAGTGTTCTCTTCAGGCATGTTTTCAGCTTTTAAACGATTGCGAAGGGCAATCAGCCCATCAGACCAACTGCTGTGGCAGGGGCCGGTACATCACACAGGTGGCGACATATGGAGACCACTACATTGCACCCGAAGTAGAACACGCCCTTGCGATGGCCTTTCGTCTGGTACGGTAGCGCAGCGAGGCTGCCAGTGGCTGTGCAGCGTTAAGTGTACGTAACCAATCCAGCTTTGCAAGGAAGTACATGGCCTTCTAAGTGACTCTCAAATACCAGACAGTGCTTCCTTAATTTGCAGCAAATGCCCTCACCCTTTATTTAGCCCCGGTCGTTAGTATGCCATAACGAATATTATCAGGTAGGCGTTCAACATTAAATTGCCTATCGAAAATAAATACTCTACTTGCATGGTGTTAGAAACTTTTGAAACGTGGTGAAGACCAAGCCTGTCTGCAGTCAGTTTTTTTACGCGTCACCGCTGGTGGTAGACTCAACGAAAGTGTGTGAGCGTGACTCTATTGTTCTCCCGTTTTTACGGCTAAAGGTGTAATAGCAGGTGAGCCATGCTAAATTACGGTCATGCCATATATGACGTGCTACATTAGTGAATCACGAGTCATTCACAAGAAACACCAGATTCCAGGAATCCGTATATCAAATCGCAGGCTTGTTGGCTTGCGCAGAATGACTGCTGTAGCTCCGAGCAACACAAACGCTTGATGGGTTTCTTCGACCGGGTGAGAGAACTGAGATGTACATCAGTGCTGAATTTTTGTCAGGGATTGTGAAATTACTCAATGGGCCAAGCGCTGGACCAACTCCACACCTCGCACTGGTTTTTGGCCTCAGCTGCCCGCCGCATGCTGCAAGGCACGTGACCGCGTGGTCACGTAACGTATTCTGGAGTTTTCAAAACTTTCAAGCGCGATGTATTTTACACCAGGCGAGTTTATGCAATTGTTTTAGGACAGACCATACATCGCCCTGTAGCTGGCATCAACCCTCGTCCTGTGTATAGTTGTCCTCACCCTATAGGGGACCGGCACGTGTTACTTCAGCAACTATCCATTAGACCTCTGCACGAGGTATTGCTTCGTGCGACACTGTGACATTTCGGTCCGCCTGGCGATCCCCTTCGCTGCAGCAAAATGACATCCGTCAGTGAACTGCACAAACATCGGGAGTTTGTGATGGCGCTGACATGCAGAAAATGATGTGTCATAGAGCCGCTTTTAAAGTGGCTAGTTTCTAGGGGAAAGAGTGGGGCCGGAGACCGTGCGAATTCGCCTTGTGTTAATTCAGATGGATCTCGTTGTTAGTGATTTGAAGAGGCAGCATCGCTTTTGTGTAGTCATTCAGTCAACGGCGGTGACATGTAAGGGCTTAAAATGGCATTTTTGGACTTCCAGAGATGGAGGCAAACACAAGCGACCGTGGTAAGAAATAAAACCGCCCTTCGTGCTAAAAAAACCAAATCCATGTATTAATTAGGTCATAGCCAGAGATCTTAATAACAAATAAATAATGGATATGGATAAATGGATTCAATTTGCTCCACTGTAAACGGCCCCTAAGGCATGGACGATGTAGTAGTCAGACAATACAATGCTATTTACTTGTCCAATTTGAGGCGTGCCATTAACACAGCTGGATGCCCCGAGATGAGCTCATGGCAACGCCATCATCAGTAACTATCTGTTGCTTTCCCAATACACACTCTAAACTGTTCTGAAATTTCTAACCCCTTTGCCATTGCCAGAGCGACGCGGCTAACGAATTTAGAGAATGAGGGATGAATCGATGCAGATGCTAAAAAAAACACACTAGAGAACATGACTTCACTAGATTGGCACGTGCGGGACGCCAGTGGGCCTGCCGTTGCCCGGTGACTCAAAACACCGCCGCCTGTCATGACGGTACGGCGAGGGCACGGCTGAGTCATGCGCGTTGAAGGCAGTGCATAGAGGTAGGCGGCGAGCGCATGCGAGGAAACAGGGAGCTGGGTACCACGACAACGGAGACCAAAGTTTGGGCCGCACATCGACAACTGAAATATGTTTAGCAAAATGCTCTTCTGCTCGCATCACCGTCCCAGCGTCGGAACAATCACTTGTGACAATCCCCCGCAATCACTTGTGACAATCCCCTGCAACCCAGCAATCAACTTGACCTTTGCTCTTATTTCCCAGCCCGCTCTCCAACTTACACGTAGGCCTGGTCCGCATGCTTTCAAGGCGGAAGCGTTCCGCGGAGAAGTGAAAAATAGCGTAAGGGACAACATCATTAGCATCAACCCATGGTGCAAGCAGGTGAGGAAGGCACGGTGGGCACGTACCTCCCACTTTAGGTTCCGTGGGGCCCCTTGGGCCCCCGGGACGGAATGGCCCGATTCGAGGCCCCGAATACTTGGCCGGAGGTTGCATTACGTGGCTCATGGCTGCAGGCCCTTCCCCAGTACAGAACAGCCGGCTTCGTGTTAGTCTGGGTCTGACAGGCCACTTCCCACGCAGTGACAAGGCCAAGCCCGTGATTTAAATCGGTTGGGGCCCCTGAGTTAACGACGGGATTGCACTAGGGTCCGGCCGGGGTCCCTGAAACAATGAGGGATCCCAGTGTCGGTCAGGGGCGTACAGTGCCTCACAGCTGGTCTCTTGTTGACGAGGGTCCCAGAGTCAGCCATGGGAATATTTGCTGAACAGATATAGTGAATAGACCCTGAGTGCCAGAGGGCATCTTGCGTTGGTCGGGGCCCTCTGTTATGAAAGGAGATATCACAACTTATACTGAGAGTCCACATTGAGACAACTGAAGGGCCCTGTGTCAGTGAGGGACCCTGGCACCGAACGGGGGCCCTGCAATCCAATTCTAGTCAAGGGCCCGTTAAGCCGAATTGGTGCCAATTATTGGACCATCTGCTGTGTTAAGGAATCTTGTTCCGTCAGGGCTGCGTCGATCCAGGGCCAATTGTGCGGATCAGAGAGCCTCACGCATCAGGGAGGGGAGCAATGTGATGTGAAGTATCTCTCTAGTGCTTTGATAAATATACATTGGCATAGATAATTATCGTGTCTCGGGAAAGGCTACCATATTTGAAAGGGTCGGTGAAACGAGGTTACATCTAAGCTAGTTTTCTTGTCACTGAACCATAAATATCTGTTCAATTCGTCGTTATTTTGCCCCTACATACGTGCTTCTAAGCCAAATGGTAACGGGCGAGGCCAAAATGAGCCAAGCAGCTTGAGTGTTCGTAGACAGTCATGCATTACCATCCCAACACAGCAATCGCAGCTGATGCAGGTGAACACTTGCGCTCAACAGACGCATTGAGTGCACACAGGCTAGGGCTGTTTGCACATCGCACGCACTATGACGCCCTTGCAGCATGTTTAACAGCACTTCCAAGCTCAGAGACATGATGCCCTGACGAAGCCTTATTCTCAGATGTTTATCTTACGCGGCTTCCGAGCTTCCTCCGCACTTCCTGGCCTTTATCATAGGTCGCACGTCCTTAATGGAGCGTAGGTGGGGCGGTACGCGATATTTGTTCTTACTCTATACCTGGCATTCCTTTCTCGGTTAGCAGCTATTAAACTTTTTGAACATATTGGTATGTAGCCAGTTCTGGCTCCGGCCAAAAGAGAACATCCTCTGGTATACTTAGATTTAATGAAGGGGATGGTCTCTTGTCTTGCACTCGCTGCTTCTTTTACCCAGTTCCTTCTCGCAAGTTTCGCGGTCTAGAGACGTCTGTTTTTGCAGTAAAACAACTGCAACAAAACGTGCGATAAAACACACTAGAAAATGTTTAAAAAACTTATGGGAAACTCGCGAGAATGCCAGCTGTGTAAAAGTCGTGATTTTCGAGAATGTTCTCTTTCGTAGGTAAAATAACACTCTTGGTTTATCACGACCTCTCGGCGGTCGGTGACTGGTATTAGGTGGCGCGCCAGCCTGTTTCCTCTCTTCCTTGGGGTTTCCTTATGCCCTGCTGTCACTTTTGGCACAACATCCTTCAGCATGCTCGCCAATTAGGTCTTACGAATTCTCAAGCTTTTTAGCCGGGTCTCTTGTGGAGACCCCGACTTTGTTCATTGTTTCCTGCTTGAAGCGTTTGGGTAAAGTGTCGATCATTTTCTTCGCTTCATGCCACACAACTTTCATTTGATATGAAATGTTGTCACCCATCTCAAAGTCATGCAATATGTTATAGCATGTCTTGCGACAAATATCTATCACAACAAAATTACTCAGAGCTTAGGACTTGCCGAACTTCTAGAGGTTTTCACAAAACTAAGCCATCTACTCACGAAAGATTCTTTTTTACCATCACGCTGAGGATTACAGGGATGGAATCAATATGCTTGTATGCAACTCAGCAAGAAATCTAATGATAGCTACTGCAGTGATTGTTATCTGCGCGTACACCAATCGTCCGCGGAGCTGCCGTGTCCTGAAGTTTGCATCAAACAAGATTCATACTCGTTTTGTCCACCTGATTATTTCTGACCACTGCCGTATGCCTTGTCTCCTTTCGTTTATTGTGTCGTAAGCTTCCTACACGCGTTTCATCAGCAGCGTGGCATGTTCAATCTTCTCTTGCACTACAAATGCATTGCATCACTGATAATGACTTGATAGCACGGAACCAGAATCCGCTCACATAACTGGCCAGGACGCTTTCATCATGCTCTTGAAACAGCTGCTTCATAAAAGTCTTATTAAGATGGCGTTACGACTGAGATGATATTTCTGCATTGACACCTGCTAGAACCTCCATGTCACAGAGACGCTTCCCGAGACTTGACCTCGATCATCCACGCCGATCGTCCCCTTTATCTCGCCTGGATCGGGCTCTGGGACCGGACCGGGCTCTGGCACTGGATCGGGCTCTGGCACCGGATCGGGCTCTGGCACTGGATCGGGCTCTGGCACAGGAGTGGCGGCGACATTGAGCGGACTGTGGAAGCCAGTGCAGACGGCACCCCAGAAGGTCATCTCCCGGAGCGAGGGTGGCCAGTCCAGCACCGCCAGCACGCAGAACAGCAACAGGAGGCGGCTCATCGCTCCTGGTGGGCAAGCAGCACAGACGTTGCAGCCAGCAGACTGGGCGATATGCGTCTTCTGCGCAAGACATCAACACAGGATAAATGAAAACGGTGCAGGCAAAAAAGATGTCTGCGCGTATACCTGTGCACAAGCGCAACCAAAAGAAAGGGAGGGGATTCGCGGTCCGGACCCCCGTTACACCTGTATTTGCTATAAATATTAATTATACATTGCTTTTTACCTAAGCTCCCCTAACCCCGATACCAAACTCCTGACAGTGACCCCGCACATATCCGTCTGGTGTAGCCATGTGCTCCATTCCTCTCTGCATCATAAGACAGTACGGTTCTTCCATCGCGCTCCTAGATATAGACTCTAGGCTCCTAAAGTCTGTGAGTGTGTGCGCATTTGTACCTATAGTACAAATGCACACACACACACACACTCACAAACATTTCGCGCACGAGAGGTCCAAGGCAACAAACGAAACGGATGATTGTCGTGCGGCCGACTGGGACGTGGCCAGACGTACCTGTCTCCTGATCGAGCACCCCTCGACTGTGCTGACCTGCCGCTGGGTTGGCGCTATTTGTTGAGGGGGGGGGAGCGGGGCTGTGGGGAGGGGGAAGGGAGCAGCGCGACATTCTCGTGACAGTTGTTGTGACGACGGACATTTTCAGCAGAAGACCTTTTGCGTCCACAATTTTAAATGTCGTCACGTGTTCCGCGACACTGGCGGCGCAACCTCTCGAGGTCGGGCCGTGGCGTACACAAGATGCGTCTTGCTATTGTGTGGAATGGAGCAAGCATCGGTAAATCCTCACGGCTACCCGTACGACAGGTTTTGCGGGCTTTCGGAGATGCATCGGCGCACGTGCCCATTCAGTGCACAACTGGGTGTTTCTTTATTATATCACAGAACAATTGCCCGATGCATTCCGCAAAATCGCCCTTACGACCACGGCGCGAGAAGATATCGTGTTCTGGATCATTTACGCACCGTGGCTTGACCACCGGCCATGGCAGGGCATAGCAGCATGCCAAACCACAAAGTGTTGTGCTAATCTAGTATCGTGCTAATCTCACAACGGCATTATGCTATACCTCGACGGCCCTTGCCGACAGTTTACAACTCAGTTAAGCAGTCGAGCAGGTGTTAAGTACTTCGCCTCCGTGAGCCACACCGGAAGATTTGACGCCTAAGCGTTTAATTGGGCGATTAACAACGATTTAAGCCATCAGCACGTGCTGTTTCCATCCATAATTGGCAAATTCTTGGGCCCAGATACACTGCCTTCGGCGGGCAGACAACCCAACAACTGGCACCGCACGAGAGCGCACCATCCATCATACAATGTGAGTGCCTCTGACCATACTGGCGGCGCTTTTCAACGTCACGGTATCTTCAGTAGGGCCAGTTCAGAAAGCACTCTTTCTCAATAAGAGTTTCCTGAGTGATCACTCCAAGCCATTGAGCAGCACAACTGTTGTTCTGGCACCTACAAAAAGATCAAACCTGTCTAGTACACTATAAAGCTGTTCAATGTGTATTTTGTCTCAATAGGTCAGTTTTCCCATCGCTCGCTCCCATTGGAATTAATCCTCGAAAACACATCGAAGGGATACAGATGCGTGCGGTGCACTGCGATGTTTCCACACGGCTGCGGCTTGCCAGGATCGCGTTCAGCTTTCTTGTCAAACGGGGCATGCCAGCGAGAACAATTTTGCTTCGCTTTTGGTATTGACTGTTGACGTGAAAATTGCCATTCAGTCAACCTTCCATTACCGATAATTTTCCTGTCATGGCTCAGAGTTTCGCTAGTCTCTGAAGACATCGCACGCCTAGTGAAACTCATCACCAGGAAGCTCTGAAATGCAGCAGTTTAGGTATAAACGTAACTGACCCCAGTTTCGTTGCGAGACGAAAAGATCAGACTTATGGTTGATGTGTGATGATGTGATGATATGTGTTACAAGTGGTTTGTTACGTTCAAAAAAATCGACCTCCAGTGTGTCAGGTGGTACCGTTTTGTCGAACATATGAAACAAATGCACATACATATACATACATATGGCTATACACGTGTATATGTATACATATTTCTAAATCATATGTCCGCCATATATGCATGTACACATGCATATATATATATACAGGCATTTATATATATATATATATATATATATATATATATATCAAGGCTTGATTATCCTTAACATAACAACTGCTTGAACGTCCCAAGATTGGAAGCAAAAGGCCTTTCTTGCTCAGATCTGGTATCCCTAAGACATTTTAGATTGCGAACTGTTTAGAATACAAAACTATCTCATTGCATTCTGTGGGATTATGATTTACATGGTATGACCTGTTGTCGTCGTTGCCATCCAATATGCCACGGCTCATCCACATCAATAGAGGCTTGAGCGACATCATTACATACCTACACACAATATACGCCGGTAGAAGCTTCACAAAATTCTTCACGTCCCTCAACAACAGCCCCTCGGGCACTACCCCTCGCCCCCCCCCCCCCCTCCCCCCAGTGTCCCACCTCTGCCCGCCGCTGGTGAGCTACACAACACTGCGCTTCATTGGCTTCCTCCCTGCTTCACCGCCCCTGGCCACCGCTGGTGAGCTACACAACACAGCAGGTGCCGGCCGAGCCGGCCAGTAGCGGCTCGAGGCGACAGGCCGGCGGCAACGGCCTCATGCGCCCAGCGGCGTCGCTCGACTGGGCCACCCAGCTCGTCCAGATGGCCTGCGGATGTTATTAGGATGTTATTACATTCAATTTCCATGTACGGGCCTACTTAAAATAATAACTGAGTGCGAAGCCAGCCGAATTTCCTCCACTGAAGTCGCTGGCGAAGCCGAGCTCTGCTTTGAAGCGATCGTTAGGCGACTGGTACACCCTGATGCCGACCGACCCCGGTGTTCCGTCCACGCCGAATGCGCTGTTGACGGCTCCTCGCGCAACGTTGCCCGCCTGCCGCTCCAGGCTCTGTGGCAGGCCGGGCACGTCGGCCAGGGCGCCGGGCGCGGCGCGCTGACGGGCACCTTGGGGAACGGCTGGAACCCGGGGAAGTTGGGGACCTGGGTCAGGCTGGAGCCCGCCAGCAGACTGAGCGGAGTCTTGCCAGGACTCAGCAGACTCTGTGGGGCCGGTGCGACGGTGGCCACCAGGGCGCACAGCAGCAGGCAACGGGTCAACATCCTGCCGGCCAAAGGAAGCGCGGTTAATTCGCTGTCATGGGCTCAAGCATCATCACACAGTATGCGTGGTTGGCAAGAAGCTCAACGATCCCACGAAATGTCGATGTTTAATAATGAACTCCGGTTATCGTTATCATCATATAACCAATAACGTTTCTGGACCTTTTTTGTTATATTGTAGTTTTGTGGGATAAGCTGACGGCAACCTAGGATTTTATCCAATGGAACTGTGACCTCGTCTAGTTGCTAGAAGGCTCTAAGGTGCCGATTTTATTAACCATAAGTATAACAATTTCACACCTTCAAGACGCCAGGTCATAAAGATCTGTTGCACACGGTATATTTGGTGAAACTGCATGTAGCGGGCACCGCACCTTGACAGCGACTGTCAGCTAAACAAACGATCTGAAAAGGTCTGGGCCTACGCAGACGCACGCCAGATTTTCGTCAGGGAAGGCCGCGGCCTCGAGGTGCCGTGACATCAGGCTTCCATGGACGGTTTCATAAAAAACATCTAAAAAACATTACGATTTTCTCGCCTTGTTTGCCTGCACGTGCTTCGGGCACCTGAGCTGTTCTCAGAGAATATCTCCACAAGTGCCTTGCTGCTCTCCATCCCCGACATCTGGGATCCCTGAACACTTTGGAAAGCTCTATGGAACAATGGCCAATGTGCAGTTGCTGCGCTCGAGGTGATCCTAGTTCATTTCATTAATCAGTGCGCAAGGAGTGCGTGCTGCGCAACTTACGTAGTTGCTCGGTAAATTATGACCGAATCAATACAAGAGAAAAAAACACATCTGGAGCAACCCACTAGCTAAAGCAAGATACAGGCCACCAATCCCTTGCGGATCTGCACGCGCATGTTGTCCTCTTTTGCTTAACTGTATGGCTCCAATCGTAAGAGCAATGATGCCCACCGGTCAGCATGCGCCGCCAGCTCACCTGTGCCGTGTCTGACAACGCGTGCCGTGTTAGCTCACCTGTGCTCACCTGTGCAGCGTTAGACGACACGGGCAGTGCTAGCTCACCTGTGCTCACCTGTGCAGACGACACTTGCCCCAGACAGCTCGTCGCAGCTGGAGCTTCCTTGCTGCTTTGCTGTGCGACTGCCGAGACGCGTCGCTTTGTACAGTGGGGAATGGGTTTCTAGGGGGACCGGGACCGGGAACCGGGCCGACCCCATTCCTCCCGCCGTTCGACCAGCGCTCACGGCGTCCAGCTCTAATGACGGTTCACTTCACGGTACGCGGTCCTGGCCCCGTGGTCCCCCCCCCCCCTGGCCAGCGCTCAGTCAGGGAACGGCGGGATCCCCCGCTCTGCACAACGTAGTTGGAAATGTCGCAACAAGATTCAGCCGCAGGAAGCTCACCGCGTCACGTCAGCCCGCTTCAGAGATTTTTCATGAGCACCGGTGGAATCATGATCAGGAAAATGTTATTTCACCTCAGAACTTGTTGATGATCCATGTCGCCGTCTTGGTTCCCGATCCTTTGCCGTCGCCATTGAAGTGTCGTGATGGTGTTATTTAGATGAAATGATGGTTAAAAACAACGAACGCTTTTAAAACACATGGTCCATGTTTATGCATGGATAAATAGATCTAAGCCTCAGAACTGTATGAACAGAACAGTTCTGAATAGAACAGAACTGTAACAGGTGATTTTCACGTGGTCTGTCAACCAAGCATGCCCTTGGCAGTCAGCTGATGCATGTCTGCACCTCAGCACAGCATTTAAAGCCGAATTTAACGCGGCTGCTTCTTATAAGAAGGGGGGGGGGGGCGGAGTCCGTCTGAATTTCCTTTATGTGAATTCAGATAAATCTCGTTTTCAGCGATTCTAAGGGTCAGTATCGCTTTTGTGTGGCTATTCAGTTAACGGCGGTGACATGTGAGGACTTAAAAATGACATTTTTGGACTTCTAGGAATGGAAACAAACACTGGTGATCGTGGTAACAAATAAAATCGTCTTTCGTAGTAAAAATGCCAAACCCGTGTTTTAACTACATCATAGCCCAAGATATTGACGTGAATCCGTTATTGGTTCACAAATGGGACAATAACAAAAATACAAATAAATAATGCATATGGATAGATAAATTCAATTTGCTACACTGCAGGCCCTTAAGGTCCCTACGGCAGAGAGCAATAGAGCAGTCTGACAATATAATGCTGTTGACTTTGCTTTGATGGCATTTGATTTTTACTCTACCAATGTGAGGCCTGCTACGAACACAGCCTACTGCTCTGAGATGAGCTTTTGGTAATGCGATCATCAGTTGCTATCTGTCGTTTTCCCAATACACACTCCAAACTGTTCCGAATTTCCAACCCCTTTGCC